CTTTTAAAAAAATAATCTAGAATTTACTTCCTGTCTAACAAATATGGTTCATTTCACAAACCTCAGTTGGTAACATTTTTAATCAAACTCACTGAAGTGAGGTGTATATCTTCAGCTGCCTAAGTAATTTATCGTTAGCAATTCCTGGAAAGGTAATATGGCCCAATGAGTTCTTTTATATTCCCAAATTTCAGAAAAATCGAGTCCCGCTCCACGCTCTGACTGTTGACTTGCTCTGTTACCCTGGGCAAACAAATTACTCTTTTTAGACTTTATGCATCTGCAAAAATGGCCATGTTCCAGGTACAGTAACAGGAGGGTCTGATTTAGGCTAACAAATACAGGGGAGAAAATATAAGAGGCCCCAAATGAGAGATACTTTATGGCGTGAAGGCAGCTGGGACAGAACTCCAGCAGACTAAGCCATGAGAAATTTGGTTATTTTCATGCGTTTTCAAGTGGGGTAAATCTGAAAATATGGCAGGAGAATGCAGAACAAGAGCGAGTTCATTTACTGTATGATTATATACTGCTTAAGAGGTAATTCTGCAGACTTTATGAAACTCCATAGGCTAGTGACTTCTTTGGTTCAGCCCATAGAATAACTTGAAATTTTTAAGTGGTGTTTGCTCTAGAGATAAAAAATTGCTTCTGAAATTACTTTGATGTGTACTGAATTTTATCTGCTTCTATTGGATTATGGAATAGTTTTTCCTGTGTTATCTGTTGTCATCTTTCTGATGTACTGAGATTTGTATTAGCTTGTTTCCCAACATTTTGAGGAGGAGATAAATAAATGCCTGTAACTCTAAGAGTAAATGCAGAATAACAAAAGAATATGCCTTCAGAAGTGATGGATTGCCATGAAAATATACATGTATGCTATTGTAGATATAAACCAGGCTCATAAATTTACTATCAAGAAAAGAATCTACTGGGGAGATGTTGAGCCCTGCCTCCTTTCCATAAATATTTGATTAATGTGGAAATAATTTGTGGATTCTTGTCCAGAGAAAGCTAATGCTTTAATGGAAGAAAGCAGGGATGCTTATCCTGCT